TACTTCTGCAATTGGTCTGCTTGTTTCATTCTCCCAGATCGCTCCTAGTCCAACCCAGATCAGCCACCTATCCAACTCTGGCCCATTTCTCAGTCTGTGTCCCAAATAACAACTTAAAAATCCAATCTAATCGATTCACTTTCTCACTTCTTAGTCATTGCATTGATTGCTCTTAGAATAGAGTTTTACTTTGTCTAACATCGTTTACAGAGCCTCCCCTTCCCCGAATCCTGATCTCTGCCTGTCTCATCTCTCACCACCGCCACCTTGTTCTCCTGAATAAGAGAGAACTTCGGCCAGGCTAGCATCATATCAGCTCCTAGAACATGACTGGGGCTGTCTTAGCCCCCAAGCCTGCTGTTTTCTCTGCAACTCTTGTTACCTGGCTCAGAGTCACAGCTCAGCTCAGAATTCTCTTTCTCCTGGGACTGGGTTTGGAGCCTTGATTGGTTCTCGTAGAGTGCTTATGTGCCTGCTTTCTCATAGCACTTGTCACACCTTGGGATTGATGTGTATGAAATAGTTTCCCCGCTGCACTGGACACTCCATGAGGACAGGTGATATGCTTTACTCACTGCTCTGGCCCTGCCTCTAGAAGAATGCCTGACACATAGTAGCCACCCATAAATATTTGTTGAATAGAATGAAAAGTGAATGAAGGAATGAAGTAGGAGGCAATCCAGGGTATCAAAGACTGTGGGAGTGGAGATTATGAAAAGGAAGATGCAAATGGAATGAAGAATTCAATTATTAAGAGACAAAAGATTCTTGAGGTTTAACTTCCAGCAGCTTATTGTTGAGTTTAGCAGGGAGGGTTTCAGTAACATAGTGGACACAAAAGCCAGAGAGTTGGAGACTTAGGAATAAGAGTTACTTTAGGAAGTGAACACAGCACATAAGTGTGACTATAAGTGGAGCCAAGATAATAGTAAGGCTAGGGAGGAGTGATGGCCTGAAGGAGTTTGTCATCTTTTTTCTTAACTTAGTACTGGAAAGACTTGGGCATTCTCACCAATTTATCTACTGCATTGTTCTGCTTTCCTTATATATCAAAGGGGAAAGTTCTAGAAATATTTCCTACTGCAGATGAAATGAAACACTTTAAAAGCCTGATTTATTTATTTTTTTTCAATTTTGGGAGAATAAACTTTTTTTAGATTTTCAGTCTGCCTAAAAAGTAAGCTGCGTTCTTGACATTTGTTTATGAACATGGTTGCTATAGTTTGTACTGGAGTATGCAAACTTTAGCCTTACTAAGACCCTTTGTTTTGAAGTTTTCAGTTCCTTTCAGCATGTTTTCAGTTCCTTTCAGCAACTCTTAAAAATCTGGACCTTGACATTTCATCTTAAAACACTTATGTCTCTTTTTAAAATTGATTTTAGAGAGAGAAAGAAAGGCAGAGAGTGAGAGAAACATTGATTTGTTGTTACATTTACTTATGCATTAGTTGGTTGATTCTTATATGTGCCCAGTCCGCTAAGCAACTTTATCCAGCCACGGTCTCATATATCTTTTTTAAAGATATATACTTTATTGATTTTTTACAGAGAAAGGCAGAGGGATAGAGAGCTAGAAACATTGATGAGAGAGAATCATCGACCAGCTGCCTCCTGCACACCCCTCACCAGGGATGTGCCGCAACCAATGTACATGCCCTTGACTGGAATTGAACCCGGGACCTTACAGTCTGCAGGCTGACACTCTATCCACTGAGCCAAACCAGATTAGGCTCTTATATATCTTTAACCACAGAGTTTTACATGATTAGGTGCTAGGTCTGACATTGATCATTGGATATATGGAGATTTAGTTCTTAGGTTACACACACACACACACACACACACACACACACACACACACATCATTTCTCATTTAAGATCTGCTCTTGTAAAAAATGCTTTGTGTGTCAGAGAGTACCTGTGGGGTGTTTTCCTCAGGTCATTTTACTTGTAGGGGGAAAAAAGATTTTTGTGCTTAATTAGCTCTCAGAGTTGACATGATGAAGAGGCCCCTTACCTGAACAGTAAAGCATCTTGGTTACTAATATGAGGCCAATAGCTGGACCATTATTCTCACCACAGTAGTTAATCACTTACTACTAAGAAAGAGAGAGCATTCAGTATATTTGGAGGCTGTTTAATCATCAACTTTGGGAATGGCAAATATTTCCCTGAATGTCTGAGAACACACAGGGCCACTGTTTGCCAAGCCTTTGCCACCAAATTTATTGTTATAGTTCATGTGTTTTTTCCTTAACAGGTTACTCTCATATTTATCACAAGCTGTGTATTAGGTTGCAAGTGACCAAGTCATTTGTGAAGTTAGCACTAGTGTTACATGTAGAAAACATCACTGGTTGGGTTGAGGAACCCGTTCTGTCTTCCTGGCAGACAAACATAAGACAAACATAGGTTTCCAAGGTTTCAGCACCGCGCGCATCTGTTTCACAGTGTAATTTCATCCGTTGAACAGATGAAGAATGCTAATTAGTTTGTTTATACATGTGTGATTTAATGAGACTAAACACCTAACTGATCTTGAAGTACGTACAACTTTGTTTCCTGTTGCTGTTTTTAGTTTAATTAAAAACAGTGTTAGGCACATTTTTTGGAAATTTTAGAACTGTGTGATGGGGGAGAATCTCAAGGAAGGATGGGTAATCAGTTGTATCCTGCCACAGTGAAATTGAATAGGAAGATGAGAATTAAAATATTGAGTTTCAGGGCATGAGTTGAAATCCATTGTTAATGAGAAGATTAAGCTAATGAAAAACTTTATCATAAATGACATTATAGCAAACTTCTAAATCCAGTATTAAAGTTCTAAGAATAACTTACTTTAGGAAGTAGTTATATACCTTCATTACATTCAACCTATAATCAGAATTCTATTTTTTATCACTTTGCCTTTTATTTGAATACCCTAAAAAATTCTAATGATTTTTCCTCTAAGTTTTTCTTCTTGTGATTGTTGTAGCTACATCAAAATATAACTGAAATCATGGCATTCAGTCACTATAGCTCTTCTTCCTGAAAAGTAATACAAAATAATGTTGTTATGTTTATTATAAATTAATAATTATTTAATGCCTTCTAGAATAATCTCTTTTATTACTTTCATGTTGTGCAAAACTGGATCTGTAGAGGTTGTTATATTTTGGGAGATGAGGAAGTAACTTGTCCTATTGTCAAAATTATATTTGGATTAAAATGCTGCAGTTAACTTCTGGCCCTTTATAGAAAGGCCTGCTGACCACAGATCTAAACCCTACATGACGATAGGAAGTAGTAATAGTAGTAGAGTTAATCTGATATGCTTTAAAGCCTGAGAAACAAATTTTTGAAGAACTGAGTCTTCCAAGGAATGCAGTTGAGAGTTTTAAATTTTTAGGTCTTTCAGAGTCTAAGTAACCATTCCTGTCAAATTGCCTCCGAGACACTCAGTAGCCCTCTGAGATAGCTCCCTATTCTATTCTGGCAGAATGTTTTCTGCTCCTGAATATATAGGATATTCCTTGTACCTTCTTAAAGATTCATAAATTACATATGATCACAGATTTGGGGTATGACTTTGAATAAAAGAGAATACTGACAGCTTCTTTTGGTCTGTCAGCATCCATCATCTTCATCTACTTAATAGCCATGAGACCCCAAAGGTTGTCAGATGGTGAATTTAGGTTTCCTATTTGTTTCAGTTCAGAAAATGAATTGTCCATTGCTCTAAACTTACTAGATAAATCACCTGTGACAAATTAAAAGCTACTGCTTATGCATATTAAGAATATATTAAGAGCATTAAGGCACATAGGAAAGAAAAGATCTGAACTCTAGTTCTAAAAGACGGAAGTATAAGGCTCTATCCTGGATAATTCAAATACCACCAGCCAATGAACAGGAGAATTATGTTCTTGTTGGCGCTTTAATATAAACTTGTAAGCCACCTTTAAGATAAACTAATCCTAGTTTCTAAATTAAGCCTTATTATTTAGAAACTAGTATAATTTGTGCTTGAGTTAATAGAAAATGCATTGGCTCTGGAGCGAGATGGACCTGCGTTTGAACTCGAGCTCCATCACTTTGTAGCATTTCACACTAAAGTAAATGACCTAAACTTTCAAGAATCTGGTCATTGGGAATAAGAATATTTGAGTCATATGGTTGCTATGAGGATCAAACAACTCCTGTGAGTCTTAAATGTAAGTACAGAGTTCCCAGGCATATAGAAGGGGGTGAGAAAACATAGGCTCTTTCCCACTCTTTTTTTAAATGTTTTTTTTTTCCCCCAAGAACAATGAACCCAGTTAATCAAGATCATTAGAATTGTTGATAAGTGGAACTTACAACCAGTGTTTCAGTTCTGAAAATATATATTCAATGTTTTAGATCTGAAAAAATATGAACTTAGGCATCAAGTATATGTATTTGGATATGTTTTGGGAGACATTAGTTTATGCTATTCTGATTTATCAGAAATGATAGCATAGTGAGAATGTTATAGTATGAGCACTAATAAAACATACCTTCCGATTTGGCTTCTGTCTTAAAACCATACTATTCCACCAATGCGGAATCAAATTAGCCTAAAAGGATTATAAAAATGGACACCAGTAGCTTGTATAAATAAGGGCATTTTGGAGAAAACTATGTTCTGTTTGAAAAATATTGAAATATTAAAAGCAAGTATTTTACTAATATACTAAAATGCACACATATTATAGATCTTTACCAAATGTTCCATCCATTTTATAATTGAAATTCCCACCAGATTTTTTTTAACTTAAAAAATGCAATATGACTATGTTGTCTTTGCTTTTTCACACCATCTTTTTCTGTTTTCCTAAGTGTACTAAGTCACTCGCTCTCTGTTCTGACTTTCTACTGCCCATAGACACTCCCATCGTCAGTGTCCTTGATCTGATCGTGGCTTCCATTTGTCAGTCCCACAAAAGAAGAGCAGCTCACCAGGACGAGATCCACAGCAGGGTGACGCCACGGACACCATGTTCTGTACAAAGCTGAAGGATCTCAAGATCACAGGAGAGTGTCCTTTCTCCTTACTGGCCCCAGGGCAGGTTCCTAAAGAGCCAGCAGCTGAGGAGGTGGCGGGGAGCACAGAGAGCTGCCCAGCCACCCTGCCAGGAGTGGACGTCTGTCAGGACACCCCCGAGAAGAAAGTGCAAGGAAGTCACCCTCAAAGAAAGACCAGTCGGAGCCGAGTCTACCTTCACACTTTGGCAGAGAGCATTTGCAAGCTGATTTTCCCCGAGGTGAGTGCTTGACCTGTTCAGGATTTTACTGATGTTTTAAAAATTGTAAAATGATGGTTTTCTCAGGAAAATGTAAACACGTGCTTTCTCACTCTCAAGTCTCTGATAGATGTTTCCTGGAGACACAGAAAAGCATTCCTTTAAAGCAATCATCGTCTTAAATTGTGTTTCTCTTAAAATGTTTAACATTTTGAATTCTTTTCAAAAGGATCCTGCACTCGGACAAGCTTTTGAGCAACTGCTTAGTCCCTTAGCGCCAGTTTCCTTATCTGTAAAATGGAAACAATATTAGTCTCTGTGTTGGAGAGTTTTAATATACATGAAGTGATCCTTACCTCTTCCCATACCATAATTAACCAGTAGTTGTCAACTATTATTTTCAAATCAAGTTCCTTGAAGAATAGCTTTTTTTCTGTCATGTTTTCTTCTTCTAAATCCAAAGAGTAAGATGTATCCCCTGATAATTTGTTGAGGTGGGGAAATCTCCCTTTTCCTGCTGTGTCTGAGTCTGAAATCTTTGTTCGAGCCAGGCTTGACCCGGTCCTCTATGTCAGAGTTGTTAGTTCAAACACTTCTTGAAATAGTTCTGTGAGCTGCACAGCCTAATATCATTTTGAGATAAGGAGCATCTTCTGTTAATCTACCGGTGACAGAACACTGGAAATAGAGCATATTCTTTATTAGGTCAAATATCTTAGAAATAGAAGAGGCATGGAGAAAGCTCCTCTCCCCCTGCAGGGCTAAAGAGGATAGTAGCTGAAAGTCTCCATGATATCTTCTTCCCTCCATCGGTGTTTAGTTTTATACAAACTCACGTAACCTAGGAGTCGAACATTGATAGAATTAGACTCCAGCTATCATAATCCACCGGCGATTTTTAATTGACTCAACACCAAAGCATTGAAGAACCACATACTTGCTGACTTTTAGGATTAAAAGGAATTTCAGAGGTAATCCCCGAGGACTAGAAGAGCTAAGTAACTTGATCGAAGTCACACAGCTTTTGAAGACTAGAGCAATTTCTGCTGTCAAACAATATGGGCTCCAGTGAGTGAGAAAGAAGAATCTTGAATTGAAGCTTGAATTAGAATTAGCTGAAAATTGAAGGGACTAATTTTTGAATATAGTATCATCACAAAAATACTTTGCCTTTGAAATAGAAATACTTAATTTTCTTATCCTAGTCTAGTCACCAGACAGCCAGCTTTGGCTGGGATGAGGGACGTAGCCCTTGTCAGGGAGTTGGTTGGCATCCCAGTCTGGGGAGTGGTTGGTACTCTCATTTCCAAGGACAGAGTGAGGTGCCCGGAGGGAACAGATGGGGATGACAGAGAAGCTGGAGAGCCTCCATGTTTCTCCTGAGTCTTGTCATTGCCATGTTGACTTCATTATTTTGTCTGACAGATTTTGAGTTTCTAAAGTAGAAGTCACCCAGATGCTAAAACATTCCAAATACCAATATAAGTGATATTTTACTGTACTCTTTGTCTTTGTTTAGAATAATCTCTGTTGTTTGTGAACTTATAGAAGTAGTCATTAACGTTTGATAATACTGTCAAGTAGTAGACGGAAAGGCAAGGCTATAAGAATTCTAAAGGGTAGAAGGGGTACAGTTGCTATTATTCACAAGAACTCCTCTATGACAATTGAGGTCATTTGCCTTATAACAGTAAATGGCCTAATGTTGGATACATTTGGACTGAGTAATAATAATCTAGACTATTCCATCAACTGCCCAAACATCTGCTTGTCTTTAATTAAACAGCATTTTTTTAAAAAATGTTAAGGTAGACATTTAATTCCTCTACTGTTTGGATAACAATTCTATCTGTTATCCAAAGGAAGAGATTCAAAATACCATTGGATAGACTACAGTTCTCATTTTAGATAATCAGACATCATTATCTGATTTGTTGTTTTGGCTGGAATATTAAAATCCGCAAACCTGCCAGTCTTTCTTTCATCCTGAGGCAGACATAGCCTCCCTCTCTTTATGGGACCAGTCAGAGAAGCTGTTCAACATTGTACATTTAAGTTTTTTTTTTAATTTCTTTTCGGCACTTGCATTTTTTCCTAAGAAATTTTAAATCTTTCCAAAGCTCTATAATGGAAGTCCCCTTCATGACTTATTTTATTAAATCAGAAGCTTGGTCTATTTTGCTGAACTTCACTGCCTCCCTTAACCAGTGGAAACTCTAAGTGAGATATAAATAGTGCTTAAGGAGAAAGGAATTTCCCAGCCTGGAACAGAGCCAGAAAAGTCTTCACTTTCCTCTGGGTAAACTACAGAAAGAACTGTAGTTATGTATATCATGTAGATACATATGATTTTTATATGCTCTGCCAAAAAAAAATTGGTAGCTCTATTTACCAATGCTCTCCTTCCCCTTATTAACTAGAGACAACAAGCTGTTAAGAAAGATTGAGAGCCAAGTATTTAAAAAGTATGGAGGCTTATATGCAATATCGTGAAGGAAAATTCATGAAATCAATAAAAGAGAGTAAAATGATTTGTGTTTGGTGAAGATAATTAGTTCAAAAAAAGGAAATAGTACAAATTAAGGGAAATCCAAGATTTGTTTCAAATCAGTGATCAACTGATGATGGTAACAGATTGGATGCAAAGGATAAAAGAAAGGGAGAGACAGATAATGCTAGAGTTTTCTAGACCTGAGGGTGTAAATGATACTTGAAACATAAATGTGCATGTGGAATTAAAGGCGGGGCGTCACTGACATGGCTGGGTGTGGAATTTGTGACAGGAACTAGGGGTTGGCTTGGCTTGAGCCACACTGACATATTGATAGCTCATCCAAAGGGGTCTCCTGACCCAGAGGAAGTGATACCCAGAATTCCTTCATGGAAGACCTGACTTGGCCAAACTGGAGTCTTCTATTTCTATTGCAACTCACCTTGACCTTGGTCTGTGGCTGGCAGTGAAACCACCCATGGCTGGTAAACCCTGAGGCCCACAAACCCACATCCAAACTCAAATTAGTCTGAGCTCATTGCTTCTTCCTAAGTTTGAAAAACCCATGGAGAACTAGTCCCACTTTCCAAAGTGTACATTCATGACACTTACTGTTACAGTAATAACATAGCTGCTTCTTTACAAGAAACTTTCAGGGAGAAGGGTTAAAACATATGGTCAAGTAAATTATTTAAGGAAATGTTTACAACTTTTCTTTTTCAATTTTCAGTTTGAGCGGCTGAACTTTGCACTTCAGAGGACACTGGCAAAACACAAAATCAAAGAAAGCAGGTAAATTGAGCTGTTTTATTTGAGTGACCTTCTTATTACCATCTCTGAGGCCACTACTAATAGCCAACACTTGCTGAAAGTATCAATGTATTTTAAATAACTACACTATTCCCAAAACTGAACTGTTTTAGTTGCTACTAATTTGAAAATAAGTACATTTTCACATGTTATGCATCACAAGCTCAAGTTTGTGTAAAATGTTTAGGATTTTCTGGGGGTTTAGGAAAAGGCAGAACTGAGTTTCCAAGCTGGTTTTTTTTCAGAGCCCATGATTTTAACGTTGTTGCTATATACTGCTGCTTTGAACAAGCTCTCGTAGGCCTCTTCTTTCATACTAAAACATGGATCCCAGCTTTAACCGGTTTGGCTCAGTGTAGAGCATTGGCCTGAGGACTCAAGAGTCCCAGGTTCGATTTCAGTCAAGGCATGTACCTTGGTTGTGGGCACATCCCCAGTGGGGTGTGTAGGAGGCAGCTGATTGATATTTCTCTTTCATCAATGTTTCTAATTCTCCCTCTCCCTTTCTCTCTGGAAAAAAAAATCAATAAAATATTTTTTAAAATAAAAATAAATAAAATAAAACATGGATGCCAAACACTCTGTGCACACTCCTTGGCTGAAGAATACTGCTAAAAGGTTGAAGCAGGGGTCCTGTGCCCCCTCTGTCCCACTTCTCCCTCCTTGCAGATTAGACTTTAGGTGCTGCATCAGGAGGAAATAAAATGAAAGAAGGATGGAGGTGGGGGGAATTCAGGCTCCTTGGGGGCAGCTATTAATCCTTAGGAAAATTTTCAGTATTTTAATAACTAGTATGATTATTCTGGTGTGCACTGGCTAAATATCAGTTCTGTTCATACTTTTTTTCTTGTACTGTGTCTTTGAAATTTTATTTAAGCTAGCTTTCTTTAGAGGCTCAATCTATAATAAGCTAGCTATCTGAAGAGGCTTAATAGATAAGGGCTTAATAGATTTTAAAAAGTAATCTGATTTATATAGTTAATTTTTCAACTATATTTTGGCGCAGTCACTACTGGTGGATAATTTGACTTGGCCTTGTTTTCAATTATGCCACAAATTATTCAATCTGCCAATGGTAGAATAAATACTTGAGTTCAAATTTTCAGAGTTGAACATTGAAATTTTGCAAACCAACACCATTGTCAGAGATATTTTATAGCTTCACTCATCTCCCTGCTATTCATGAGTGAATAATCTGTTCTGTGGATTATCTGCGCTTAATTTTCCTTGCTGACTAACTGGTCCCGGACTGCAGGCAGCAGGCTGCCAAGAAGAGGTCTCAGACGGTCCCAAGGAGAGAGAGTGAATCCGTGTGTCTGACAGAAGCTATGTTTACAGGAGGGATATGCAAAGTATTCCAGAGCCCCTGACCTTGATTCTGTCAGGCTGATAAGATAGCCACAAGTCATCCTAGCTGTGCTACTGTGTCTGTCTGCCTAAGTCCTTGACAGCCAGTTTACACAAAATTTATTCTCAGTGCTTTGTGTTCTGAATGTTTCTAAGCTAGAGGCAGACATTCCTTCAGGATATGTTCCCAGCAGCATATCTCTTTTAAAGACCTCAAAAAAAATTAAATAAAAGTATTTTATTTGCAAATCTTGAAAAATCTTTAACCATTTACTGACTTCTTATAGAGCTGATCATACTTCTAAATTGTTCTAGTGGGAATTATTCAGTTGTTGAAATAAGATGAGCCCCCTCCCTGCCTTTTTTTTTTTTTTTTTTTAACAAGAGTGCCTGTTGATATGCCAAATGTCTTCTCTCTGCTTTGTCTTTTTAAATTGTTGCATATGCTCTTTGTGCCTGGGTCTCCCACCACCACCATCTTTTTGGCAAGGCAACAGCTGTTTCTGCTGCTCTCATTTTGCCAACCACTGAGCACACCTGACTCCTCACCTTTTGCAGACTGCTTCTTCTCTTATGTGACTTTAAAAGCAAAAGACCAATAAATTAAATAATAAGCTGTCCCTCGATGGAGTCCTGGAGTTCCTTACCCGCCATTTTTTAAGTGAATGAGTTTTAGTAGAGCCATGCTGATATCTCCCTAGGGTGGTTGCACATAGAGCTTTTGCTTTGTTAATTTCTCTAAGACCAGTTGTTCACATCATCACATGTGTGAACTCATGGCTGGTGTGTGTATAGCACACATTCAAACTTATACCTCCTTTTTGGAGATGAAGACAGGGGACTTATTTTGAGTTGCACTATGTGCTGTTTGGACTTACTTTGCTCATATCTCATATCATGGTTGCTGGGAATTGACAGCATTATAGTTCTCTGAGCAGGTTTGCTCTCATTCTTTAGGGGAAAAAAATAAGTTGCTTAAATGACAAAAAAGGAGCCAATTAAAGGCTGATTAATACAAAGCAATATATATCAAGGGGTTTAATGATGAAAAACTAGACTTTGGGTGGTAAACACACAATAGAGTATGCAGATGTTTTATTATAATGGAGTACTATATATCAAAGTGTTTAGGGGGTCTCTAAAGTGAAACCAGATAATATCAGTTAGTGTTCTTCAACCTGTTAAAATAAGAAAATCTTTCCACCTAGTATTTTAAATAATTATAAGCAATATCCCTTTATGTAGCAAAATAATGGACTGAGCGGTTTTCCTTCTTTAAAATAATCCCTTTTGAAACTTCTCTACATGTGTCAGAGTCTTTGAAATCTATTAAAATTTTTAAATTCATGCTGTTTGTACACTTGGCTTGTCCAATGGCATACTGAACCACAAACAGAACTTGGGTGCCTTTTAATATGCTTCTGTAGTTTGGCAAATTTGCTTATGATCAGTCATCACTATCAGAAATCAACAAAAAATTAGGCAGACATGAGTCAGCAAGTTGTCCAGTTGAAATCACTATAGCCTTCTATTAATCAAAATGTATGCTATTTTCAACTTCTATGCTACAGGAACCAGTGCAGTAATTGATTAAAAGAATAGATTAGTTACTCATTTTTATATAAGATCAAGGGTAAGACTTAACATAAAGATGTTTGAGAGTTAAATATATAGGCTTTACTGTATGTTTATAAAGTAAATGTAGAGAATTTACTGTATATTCACTTCAGAAAAAAATTGTGATATTTAAAAGTTAAATCCATCAGTATGTAGGTTTTTCTTCTTGTGGGTCATTTCATATTCCTGGTTCCCTGCCAGTGTAGACCTCTATAGTATTAGCTTAAGTCAGTGGTTGGCAAACTCATTAGTCAACAGAGCGGCATACTGTGGCTATCAAGCTGCATGTGGCTCTCGAGCCGCGGTTTATCAACTACTGACTTAAGTGCAGTTCAATTAAAAGCAAGTACTTTATAAAAAATGATGAAGCACTCCATATTCAGATATATTTGGGGGTTTTCTACATTGCTTTGGTTTGTACAGGTCACTGCTCCTTTTCTGTAAACTTGATAGTTAAGACTTGTCTCTCCAGAAGAAGTTACTTAAATTATTTGTCATGATTTTTGTTTGTTATAATCTGAACTTTTGACATTCACATGTCAGTTTATAACTTAAGATATTGAAATATTTTCAGAAAAACTGTGGAAAGAGAAGACTTTGAAAAAATAATTGCAGATGAAGCACTTGCCGCAGGTAATAGAATTGTTTCATGTTAATTGTCTAGTATATGTAATCAGGAATTAATTATACTTATAGAACTAATGTTTTATCTGTAAACTAATGTTTTCTAATAGTAAAAAAAAAAATTACCTGTAGAACTAACATTTTCTCCTAAAATATTTATTTTTATTAGCTGGTAAAGTACAGTGTGAATTATTAAATCTAGGTATTAACATAAATAATAACTCTTTGTCATACTATATATTTTGGTTTGACCTTAAATATTTTCTCTTCTTTTATTGGAATTTATCTTTAATAAATGTACCCTTCTTTCCCCCACATTGACCCCCTCCCAACTTCCAACCTCCCCACCCTCCCACCCCAGGACTCATTTCCTCTTTGAACAATGTTCATTTGCTGAGAACAAGATAAGGCTGCATGGGAAGCTGACTCATATACATGTATACGGTCTTAAAGTTAACTACGTGTTCCTTATTTATGCATAAAAAATCCTACTTCACAAAGCAAAATAAAGAATTTTTTAAAAGTTTGAAACAATTATGGGGAAAGGTATTAACAGTGTTTTCATATCAATAATTAGTTTAGAAAAAAAAAGTAGATGAGTAACTTTGTCCTACTACGCTTTTCAAAGTTTAAATACATGGACCAACAAGTTCATTTTTTCTGAACATACAAGATGTTAAAATTTTAATAATAACAATGATGATGGTGGTGATTATGGCCGACTTATTATAGTGAGTCCTTAGAAGCCAGGGACTATTCTAAACACCATTACCACACATCATGACAATGACATAAAGAAGGCACCATTGCTCTTCCTGAGTTACAGGTGGAAAGGAATGGGTACAGGGAGTTGAAAGAATAAAAGAGGTTCTAGAAGAAGTTTTAGGAAGTGATTAATATATTCCAAACACATGTTTATTAGAGTAACAATAACAAGAAGGCCATTATACCTAAAAAAAAAATACTTTATGTCATCACTAATAAAAAAATGACAACATTTAGTTTCATAGCCAGTGATTTCAAATTAATTCCTGTGTCTGAAGCTTACACTCCTGGAGATCCTGTAAGGTGGACAGTACCCTTTCATCAGAATGGACTGGTTTTGAGTTATCCGGGTGAGACAGCTTTTTCTGAAATGGACCTGATCCTGCAATTTCTATTGCCCTTTTCTAGCTGTTTAGGGGGATAAAATGTTGTACATTATATTCAATTGACCATTCTTTTTTTTAAAAGAAAATATTTTTTATTGATTTCAAAGAGGAAGGAGAGGGAGAGAGAGATAGAAACATCAATGATGGAAGAGAATTATTGATCAACTGCCTCCTGCACTCCCCCTTACTGGGGATCGAGCCTGCAACCCAGGCATATGCCCTGACCAGGAATCAAACCATGACCACCCATGGTTCATAGGTCAACGCTTAGCCCTGAGCTACATTGTCTGGGTGATCATTCTTTTCTAAATAAATGACTTGGGATTTTTAGTCAGGATTACCAGAATTTTAGTAACTCATCTATGTAGATAATTAGAATATAGATGGTTAATTTGGGTTGGGATTCTTTATATATATATATATATATATATATATATATATATATATATATATATATTATTGATTTTTTTACAGAGAGGAAGGGAGAGAGATAGAGAGCTAGAAACATCGATGAGAGAGAAACATCAATCAGCTGCCTCCTGCACACCCTGCACCGGGGATGTGCCCGCAACCAAGGTACATGCCCTTGACCGGAATCGAACCCGGGACCTTTCAGTCCACAGACCGACGCTCTACCACTGAGCAAAACCGGTTTCGGCTTGGGTTGGGATTCTTACTACCAGATATAAAAGGAAATAAATCACCAAATAAAACAATGTTTACAATAGTTGTAACAACACAGTTCTACCACACTGACCTATTTGACATGACAGGAAATGTGTTATCTGCTTTCAGGAGTTCCAGAGGAGAGCATCAAAGCATCTCTGGGTGAAGAGATTTTTAAAATATGTTATGAGGAAGATGAACACATCCTGGGTGTGGTGGGAGGAACCCTCAAGGATTTTTTAAATAGCTTCAGCACCCTTCTGAAGCAGAGCAGCCACTGCCAAGAAGCAGAGAAGAAAGGCAGGCGGGAGGCTGCCTCCATTCTCTGTCTGGATAAGGACCACGATGTCTTAAACGTTTACTATTTCTTTCCTAAGAAGATCACATCCCTGATTCTTCCGGGCATCATTAAGGCAGCTGCTCACATCCTGTATGAAACCGAAGTGGAAGTGTCATTAATGCCTTCCTGCTTCCATAACGATGGCAGCGAGTTTGTCAATCAGCCCTATTTGTTATACTCCGTTCACGTTACAAGCACCAAGCCATCCCTGTCCCCAGGCAAGCCACAGTCCTCGTTGGTCATTCCTGCTTCTCTCTTCTGTAAGACATTCCCGTTCCATTTCATGTTTGACAAAGACATGACAATTCTGCAATTTGGCAATGGCATCAGGAGGCTGATGAACAGGCGAGACTTTCAAGGAAAGCCAAATTTTGAAGAGTACTTTGATATTCTCTCTCCAAAAGTCAACCAGACGTTTAGTGGAATCCTGACTATGTTGAATTTGCAATTTGTGGTCCGAGTGAGGAGATGGGACAACTCTGTGAATAAATCTTCAAGGGTAAGAGAAACATAATAGTATTTTGAATATGAAATTAATTATTTCATATTTAAGAACCAGAAACAAAAAAGTGGTACAAATGCAAATGCATCACTTCAAATGTTTTCTTAAAACATTTAATTTTAAAACAATTCTAAAATATTTCTAAGGCTGGAATAAATTTGAAACAAGGTCCTTTTTGCATGTGTTTCTTCTCTACTTGACCCTTAATTCACAAATATTCATTGAATGCAGTGTATCTTTAAAAATCTTTATGACATATTTTACAACTGAATTATAAATATATATATATATATATATATAAAATACGTTTTCGGTCATCATCAGACAGTCGACTTAATTTGGAATAAGAGGTCTTTTTCTATAACGAACAAAACTACTTTTTTTTTTCTTATAGGAGCCAACTAAATAGATTTTTTTACTCAATATTCAATAAATGGGAAAAAATCAATATATTTTATTTAATTGTTAAAGGATGTGGGGAGAAATGTTCTGTCACCTCCTGGTAGAGAATTTTGGTAATTATTTACTTTTAGGTTACAAAGTTTGCTAAGTCATAGTCAACAGTACAGCAAAATGCATAAAGAGGCTTATGATGCATATTGATTTTAGTCATGTATAACCCCAGCAGACACACTGTTCCCCAAAATGAAAACAGCTTTATTCCTTTTTATCATAAAAATTGTATAGGTATATCTTTAAAAATTTGGTAGTATTTAAATATGTCCATTGTAGCAACAACAAAAAAAAAATCAATGACATTAGTTATTAAGCATGCTATAATTCAGAGTATGCTTGTACAGGGGAAAAAATTGTGCCTGTAAAAATAAAACATGAGGTTTATAGATTTTTGTTTAAAACAAAAAATAATACTATTTACAACTTCTTCTCCCCCTCTCCCCCAAACTGTATATTTTGGGCATCCTCCCATGTCATTAGATATAGGTCTGTTTCACTTTTCAAAGGCTGCATCGTGTTCATTGTAAGGTTGTCCTCTATGTAATCATCTGCTCTGAGAAGGACATTTGGCTTGCTTTTGGCTCTGCCGCAGTGAGCCACACACGTATGTATTTGTCCACACTCATCCAAGTAAATCTTGTGATCCAAGATGGTCATGTGAAGCCTCGCCTCCCTCAAGGCTCCCTTGGCGCAATCATTTCTGCTGGCTGCTCCTCTCAAAAGGGAGTAGGCACATGCCATCTACAGAGGAGGCCTAGAAGGAAGCATTGTTTGTGCTGCTTATTGAAAAGTATGATCTGTGTGTAAGGTATACTTTTCAAATATCTGCACACGTCTTATAACTCACAGTAAACTGGAACTATAAGAAAACATATTGTTCTTGGTCAATAGGTAGGAAAAAAAAAAAATCAAGTTCAATACCAAGGGATTGTCACGATACTTCCTCTTCCTTTTTGTCTCCAAAAAATGTTGGAAACTTGAATGAATCACATCAATTGGTTCTCCTTTGCTTCACAGGTTATGGACCTCAAAGGCCAAATGATCTACATCATTGAATCCAATGCGATCTTGTTCTTGGGGTCGCCCTGTGTGGACAGGTTAGAAGATTTTACAGGGCGAGGGCTCTACCTCTCAGACATCCCGATTCACAATGCGCTGAGGGATGTGGTCTTGATAGGGGAGCAGGCCAGAGCTCAGGATGGCCTGAAGAAGAGGCTGGGGAAGCTGAAGGCCACGCTGGAGCAAGCCCACCTAGCCCTGGAGGAGGAGAAGAAGAAGACAGTCGATCTCCTGTGCTCTATATTTCCTTCCGAGGTGGCGCAGCAGCTGTGGCAAGGGCAGGTCGTGCAAGCCAAGAAGTTCAGTAACGTCACCATGCTCTTCTCGGACATTGTTGGGTTCACGGCCATCTGCTCCCAGTGCTCGCCGCTGCAGGTCATCACCATGCTCAACGCACTCTACACCCGGTTTGACCAGCAGTGCGGAGAGTTGGATGTCTACAAGGTAGGGGTGGAGCTGGACGGTGCCTGTTTTCCAAGCAAAAGTCACTGAGAGAAAGCACTGTGACTAGGATCTGAGTTATAATGCAAACGAAAGGCTGTCCCTGTGGGAGTAGGCATTGTGTGTTAATTGCCTGGGTGTTTGCCAGCCAGAAATAGCTCTGAATCTGCTCAGAGAAAGAGATGATTCCATGAGAAATCATCTAAGGAATAAGCATTGAATGGGGGATGATAGACAGCGTGGAAGATGGGGTGTAGGACCCATGAGCAGGTGAAGTTTAGAAGTCATTGACTATGACACTTGACTGTGGGAACTGAGTGGAGTTGTTAAGCATGGTATAATTCAGAGTATCCCTTGTACAGGGAAAGTTTGTACTTTGTACCTGTAAAAGTAAAGAAACCTGAGGATTATACAAATAGTATTTAAATAGATTAATTCAGTTCAGGGTTAACATGATACTTTTGATGGCCAGTTAGCAGAAACTCAAATTACCTACTTAAGACTTTACTTTAGAGTGGCTGAGGGCAGAGATACCTAAATCTTGTCTTCACATCTTGTTTCTACCTGATGTATTTCACTTGTGAAACAGAGAAAATATTATATACCTAAAGAGTTTATATGAATGATAACATGCATATGTCCTGTAAGCTTTGTTTTAAATATTATGGTAAATAATATCTGTTATTCATCAGGCAGCAGGATTTTGGGGGTTCCCAGGATGTACCGGCATCATTCTAGGCACTGGGGATGCACAGTGATTGTTCCCAACGTGTATTCAGCTACTTTTAAAAGAACCAATGAAGAGATTTCATGTTCTGCCTTTAGAAGTAAAACTATATACATTTTTTACTGACCTAATGCATTTTGCACTGTTTTAGACATTATCATTAAGCACAGAGCACGCCTCTCATTTGTGTGGTTGAAATCATCTGTTAATTTTCCACACAACAATCTGGCATTTCAGAACTTAACCCAACACAAAATAGATAAGTGATTAAGGAGAAACAAAAAATTATTTATGGGAATATACAAGACCCTGCTTTTTTTTTTTTTCCAATCTAGATGCTAGAAGTAAAAACAAAATGAGAAAATAAAATAAAACTTCCTTTAAAAACTCTAACAGGAAATTCCAGATAGAGTTATGATCCCTTGGGTCAAAAATAGGTTCATGGATAATTACAGATAAAATAATTGGCTTTGGTTAGGTTAAGCTTGATGGCCTCTTGTGGAATCTGCTGTATTTTTTTGTAGACAGTTTCTATCCTGAGAATGTCTCCTCTCTCAGCAGAATTGTGAGAAGAAAGGCTTGCTGTTCTTGGCAAACTATTATACTAAGGTTGATGTCAGAAGAAGTAGCCCTCTTCTTCAATTTGTTGAAACTTGACAAAATTGGTTATTTTTGTCAAGTATTTAGAATCTAGCCTCTTTACTACCAGGATGGTAGCCACAGAGTTCCCTGGCTCACCCAACTGCAGTCTAAGCTAGTCAGTCACCTTCTTTTCTGTCCTTCTCACCACTCTGATTTCTCATGAAAATACCTAGAGGTAGCTGTAAACAAGTAAGGAGGGTCTTAACCACTAACTACATCTCAAATACACAGAATGTATAATCATAGGCCCACCTATGAGTGTCATGGCTTCCAAGGAATAGTCAAGTTTATTCAGGGATCTGATAATGCCAGAACTTTATTTAATTTCATTTTCTGTCATTCCATCTTTTGGAGTTAGTGTTTATTTATCTATTGTTTTAGCAAATATCTATTGATTATCCAGCATTTTCCAGCATGAGTGTGCAAAATCCCTGTGAGAATAGTTGACATATGTGTGTGGGGGGGGGGGGCGTTACTGGCAAATACTAGATTTTAATATGACATACTAAGGCCCCATTTCACTCAAGTCTGGACCAGGTGATACAATAGCACAGAAAATGGGTACCTAACTCCAAGTAGGGGTGAGGGTTCCACTTAAAATTAGCAACACTTTTTTGAACACCTGTTAGCCTTTCTGTTAAACACTTCATATATATTCACTGCTGAGGCAAAGCTTAATGGGAGGCATTGCTGCCTGGTCCATTCATTGGTGAATATACTGGGCACTGATAGGAATTAATAACATAGACAGACTCAGAGAGCTTACATTCTACTGGTGGGGGTGGGGGGAGACAATAAACAGATGAGTAAATATATAGTATTTCATGTGGTATAATATTCTGGAAGGAAAATAAAGCAGATTAAGGGGGAGAGGGTAAGAAATGGTTGCTGTTTCACAGAGGGTGGCCTTTCTCATAAGGAGATGTTTTTGAGGGGCTGAAGGAAATGAGGGACAAACCAAATGGTTATCTTCAGAAAGATCATTCCAGGCAAAAGGATAGCAAGTGGGAGTCTGTTTGGTATGTTTGAGAGAAAACAGGAGAGGCAAATGGCATTGAGACAAAGTGAGCAACAGGGAGAATGAACAGGTAGTGTCAGGAGTTAGCAGAAAAGGAGGTCAAGAAGAAACTTGGGCACTTTATAAGGGTTTCAGCATTTATTTTGAGTAAACATTTACATCTCTTTTTCTTTTCCTCACCTCCATTTCTCCACACTGGAAGCTTTGGATAAGAAAAATGCGATGATCTACTATGTTACAATAAATATTTAAAAAGAAAAATGTGATTATTATAATTTGGTGCATTTAAATTAATTATTAGCTTCTTGTAGCCAGTATCATAGACAAAGAACACTGAGATTGTTGCTATATGATTCTTAATTTCTGTTGTAAGTTATATGCTATAATTCTTCCTGAGCTTTTTATTTGTAATGTGGAAATCTGTTATGTGTAGGTGGAGACCATTGGTGATGCATATTGTGTGGCTGGGGGATTACACAAAGAAAGTGATACCCATGCTGTTCAGATAGCACTGATGGCCCTCAAGATGATGGAGCTCTCTGATGAAGTCATGTCTCCCCATGGAGAACCTATCAAGGTAAACTAGATCATATATTATTTAGGAAATGAGAATAAATTCTTATTAGTTAGTTATCAAAAGAGAGGTGTGCCCAGCCTGTGTGGCTCAGTATTTGAGTGTCCACCTATGAACCAGAAGGTCATGGTTCAATTCCTGTTTAGGACACATGTCCAGATTGCAGGGAGCATACAGAAGCAGGCATACAGAAAGCAGCTGATTAATGATTCTCTTTATCATTGATGCTTCCATCTCTCTCTCCTCCCCTCCTCTCTGAAATTAATAATATATATCAATAATATATATATATATATATATATATATATATATATATATATATATACACACACACACACACACACACACACACACACACACACACTAGAGGCCCAGTTCACAAAATATGTGCACTGGGGGCAGGGACAGTGTATGTGTCCCTCAGCCCAGGCTGAACCCTCTAATCTGGGACACCCCTCTTACAATCTAGAACTGCTGGCTCCCAACTACTCATCTGCCTGCCTTCCTGATTGCTCCTAATCCCTTCTGCCTGCCAGCCTGATCACCCCTAACCACTCCCCTACCACCCTGATTGATGCCTAACTGCTCTTCTGCCAACCTGATTGCCCCTAACTGCCCTTCCCTAAAGACCTGGTTACCCCCAACTTCCCTCCCTTGCAGACCTGGTCCCTCCTAACTGACCTCTCCTGCTGGCCATCTTATGGCATCCATCTTGTGTCAACATGGGGGCAGCCATCTTGTGTGTTGGAGTGATAGTCAATTTGCATGTTATTCCTTTATTAGATAGATTCTTTTCTTTTCTTTGAAGAATAGTGTATCAGTCTGGGTTTAGTTGCAGAGAGCAAACTCACACTTGTTGAAGCAAGAAAACATTTACTATATGGTATGAATCTCAGAATCATTGAGAGGACCCAAGAAGCCATTTATAAATTGAGCTTTTTAAAAATGGGCCCTAAAGCCACATTTTAGAGCCACTGCTTTTTCCTCCGCCAGGAAGCTGGCTCCAGAACTATTCCACCGTAGCCAGTCAGGAAAAGGTTGTGTTCTGAAAGCTGCTACCTCTATTGCTGGCTACAGCACACAACTACATGCCCCTCCTCTAATCTGGATCAGCAACGTGGAATTCCTGCATCCTGGCCCTCCCACAATGAGTGCCTGGGGACTGGGCGCTCCACTAAGCTGCCACAGAAAACCCAAAGCTTCCCCAATTGTAAGCATCCCAAGTGCAGTCCCAGAAGAAATCCTGGCTTCCATATCTCATGCACATGGCTCTGAGTCACCGGACCTGAATGCATCCAGGTGCTGCCAGGAAGTTTGGAATATGTAGTGTTTAGTGTTCCAGTAACTGCAGGGAAGGACATCACAGTAGAATGAATGTTGACTGTTAATCCACCAGTGCTTTCCAGGACACATAAAATTCTAAAATGTCTAGATCAGTCAGACTCCAGAATAATATTTTATTGCACATGGAAAAATAAAATTAACACACTAGATATTGGTTTAATAGACAGAACATGACCAGGTTATGTTTATTTGTAGCACTGTAGTCAATCTGGCGCTCAATTTTTATCAAATAGACCTCAATTGATGACTCAGAAGTGGGCCTTTGAAGAGACTTAGAATCCGACCTGGTATGCTATGGATATAGGGAGAAGAAAGAAAGAAAAATAAACAAAACTATACTATTTAGAATTTTAGTCTTGGCTCTCTTCACAGTTAGTAGACACTATACATGTAAGTCATCATATTGGTTTTACAAATCTACTCTCTTTCCAGTTATATGTTATGAGAAGCCTGTTGTATGATATTCATGCAAGAATAGGCCTTCTTTCCCCTGGCTTCACTCCCAGCTGCCTGGGAGCCATCATGTCCCCACTCCCAGCTGGTCTGGGAGCAGGCAAGTCCTTGCTTCTGTCCAGAGCACTGCTCCTATAGCTCCCTCTCCCAACCCCTTTCACCTCATAGCAGGCATCCAGCCTCTACCAGCTGCTCTGTGCCTGCATATGCAAATTAACCTCAATCTTTGTTGGTTTAATTTGCATACTCATTCTGATTGGCCATGGATATGGCAGAATAATGGTTAATTTGCATATTTCTCTTTTATTAGGTAAGATTGTATGACACATTTTGTATATTTAGTGCTGTAAAAATATAACCCTTTTATTACTCATGGATTCTGTGCATTGGAAATTAGATGATGCACACCTCAGCTCACAGTCCCTAGTACCTCAGCTGGGAACACTCAAATGGTTGGGAGCAGTTGGAAGAGGTGGTTGTACCACTTGGAGCTGGAGGATCCATTCCAACATGGCTGCTTCACTTACACGCCTGGTTCCTTGCTCACTGGCGATGGCTGAAAGGTTGAGCTCAGCTAGGACTGTCCGTCCATGTGCTTATGTGACGTAGACTCAGAGTAGTTACACTTCCCACATGGTGGTTTATGTCCCAGGGAACTTGATTAGTGGCAGCATGGCCTGTTAGGACCTAACCTTATGAGACACACAGTAACACTTCCATTCTATTCTATTGGCCAAAGCAATCATAAGCCTGCTCAGAGGGGAGGAGATAGAGGTCATATACTAATGGGGAGAGTGTGACGTAAATTGTGGATTGAAAGGGTGTGAAGGGTCGAGGGTTCCATTCTGGTCAAGGACACATGCCTGGGTTGCAGGCCCAGTTGGGGTGTGTGCAGGAAGCAATCAATCAATGTGTCTCTCTCACATCTATGTTTCTCTCTCTCTCTCTGTCTCTCTCTCTCCCTTTCTTTCCCCTTCCCTTCCACTCTCTCTAAAAATCAATGGAAAAAATATCCTTGGGTGAGGATTAACAAATAAAAATAATAATAAAATCATCATAGCATCTTACTTTTTCAGACTTCATTTCTGTAATTGCATTTTTTAAAAAAGATAACTCTCTCTTTTTCTCTGTCTCTCTTTAGTTTTAATGAGGAAAATCATAGCATCATAGTACATGCTTAAAATAGCAACATTAACAATAAAATCAGCAGTTTCCACATAAATGGATTTTGTAACTAAAATGTTTGAGTGGGATCAGTAACATGAGTTTTGTTATTTGTAGGAATGTAATTTTAGAGTTTTGCAACTGGAGGAATTATTTATAGCTAGTTTCAAAGACAATTACCTGAGTAATAAGAGTTTAGCTTTAATGACTATAAAGTGAGATGGTAAGCATACCATTTTATTTGTTCTAACCTACAGTCCTCGGGACTATCTGATGGCTTTAGGAGCTGCCTAGGAGACATCCCAGAGGCAGAAGTGAAGAGCTTTCAGTAGAGAGAGAAACCTTATTGTGTATTGGAGGAAGGGGAGCATATTGTGACAAACATCATCTCCTTTAATATTTACAACAACATCATGAAGAGGAAACTACCATTCACTGGTGGACAAAAGTGGTCAGGTCTCCCCTGCATCTGGATTTGGAGTTATGTCTCTCTGGCTTCAAAGCCCAGGCATATCCTGGCTGATAGCTCAGTTGTGGGTTCTATCTCCCATCAGGGCACATACAAGAAGCACATAATGAGCTGAAGCCAGTTTGGCTCAGTGGTAGAGCGTTGGTCTGCGGACTGAAAGGTCCCGGGTTCAATTCCGGTCAAGGGCATGTACCTTGGTTGCGGGCACATCCCTGGTAGGGGGTGTGCAAGAGGCAGCTGGCCTATGTTTCTCTCTCATTGACGTTTCTAGCTCTCTCTCTCTCTCTCTCTCTCTCTCTCTCTCTCTCTCTCTCTCTCTCCCTTCCTCTCTGTTAAAAATCAATAAAATATATTTTAAAAAAAAGAAAAAGAAAAAAGAATCACACAATGAGCCGAAGCCGGTTTGGCTCAGTGGTAGAGCGTCGGTCTGCGGACTGAAAGGTCCCGGGTTCCATTCCGGTCAAGGGCATGTACCTTGGTTGCGGGCACATCCCTGGTAGGGGGTGTGCAAGAGGCAGCTGGCCTATGTTTCTCTCTCATTGACGTTTCTAGCTCTCTCTCTCTCTCTCTCTCTCTCTCTCCCTTCCTCTCTGTTAAAAATCAATAAAATATATTTAAAAAAAAAGAAAAAGAAAATAGAATCACACAATGAATATATAAATAAGTGGAACAACAAATGGATGTTTTTCCCTCTCTGCCCTCCTGCCCTGCCCCTCCTTCTAATCTGGGCCACAGCAACCACTTCCTGCTTCCTGTGTTATTTCTTATTTAAATATTGCAATTCCCTTTCTCTAGTTAGTCATTTGCCTAGTGGAGTAGTGTTGGCATGAAGTTATTTTCCTCAAAATGTACACTTTATATGGTGAGAGCGAGCTACTTTTGCCCCTCTCTGACCGTGTTTTGGGAAACAACAACTGTAATCCAGAAGGTATGTCTATCGCATTCAATAGAGCGGTTTCACACAAACAGTCCATAGACACTGCCTTGTCACCGTGGTGACAGCAATAGGTCTGTGTGGAAATCTGTCTGATACTGAAGAGAGGTGAAATGAGAGTGCTTTGTGCAATAAACCTAAGGGCAGAAGTAGAGAAGAATTAAGAGGTGCAACTGATTCTTCTCCGATAATTTTTAATCAACTGTGAAAAGTAGAGGGAAAATGGATGAGGTTTTTGAGGAAGGAGGGAGCGGTATGGTAAGAGCAGTTGTTACAATAATTTAGACAGGGCATTCAAACAACATGGGCAAGTGGGGAAAATTTTAACCAATGACCAGGAACTTTGTGGCACGTTTTTTTGCTTTCAGATGCGAATTGGACTGCATTCTGGGTCGGTTTTTGCTGGAGTTGTTGGAGTTAAGATGCCTCGTTACTGTCTTTTTGGAAACAATGTCACCTTGGCTAACAAATTTGAGTCCTGCAGTGTACCACGGAAAATCAATGTCAGCCCAACCACATACAGGTACTGATTGCACTGACCATCTAAACTCCATTCTTTTACTAGTTCATTGGGGGAAATGGTATCTGGTCAAGAGGGAGTAAAGTAAAACTTCTCCCCCATGTGGACATCTGCCTTGGGCCTGTGGCTGCAGTTCTTGGATCTTTTTTTCTATCGGGCTTTCATTTAAATAGTTTTATTTTTCCAATCTATTTTTCTTACAAATTTTGATCTTGTTTTGAAGATAATCTAATGAACATTTCTTACTCATGAAAAATGAGTGTCATTTCTCAATTGACATTCTGTGCTTATCTATAAATTTATTTCAAAAGCCTAGCATTTGTATTCAGAAGACATATTTTACAAGTTTACCAGATGTGAGATCTTGAGCAAACCACTTGATAAATTCAAAAGATATAAAGGTTATGATTGTAATTACCATACTAATAGGAGATGTTGAGCTAATATGGACATAAAAATATTTTTTAATTTACCAATCACCTATAGTTTTATACATTTTATTTATTAAAACCTTTTAGTTATATACATTTTAAAGTTAATTTTTAAATATTTCAAAGATACAGAAAAAATTCAAAGAAAATATGATACCCATGTAACCAATACTTATATTTAGCAAATGTCAACAATTTGCCAAATTTGTTTCAGATCCCTGTTTTATGAAAGAAACAATATTACAGATTCCTGGCCCCCATTTTCTCTCTGACATGCTGGACTTTATATCCCTTATGGATTGTAGGGACATTTGAGAATGTGTACTTCCTGAAGACAGACAGGCTCCTAAAGAGAGAGGTGGGAAGGCACTGAATACAGCATAGCTCATATTGCTTCTGTTTACCAGGAAGGAAATGGCCAGAAGTGTAACTCGCTTCATTTAAGTTCCTCCAGATTAGAAATAAATAAAATCAGAGAAAAGTAAATTTCCACTGGACCTATTCATATTCTTTTATGACTTGCCTTGAACCTACTCAACATATTTTGAGGTGTTTTTTTTTTTCTTGATGAAATGTAAATCTAGTTCTTATAAATCTAGTTTATTTATTCTATTTCTAATGCAGCGGTGTACTGGTAAACTAGCTTTGGGAAGTAAAGTGGAGAATCCCTGACTTCTAGCATTTACCAATTTCTATGGCGTAAATACTCCTACCATGGCAGGTTTTAGGCGACTAATAGTTTGCAAAATTCTTGAATGTTAAAAGTTCACTGTCATGAGCCAGTACAAGCCAGATCAAGTATGTCACTATGCATTAAGGTGATATAATATGTATTCTGAAGTATGAATAAGCCAGAATCTTATCTTCTCCCCAGGGTTAATTATGATAGAATGTATCAGGTTTTCATTATTATAAAAGTGACTTAATAAATATTCTTACGCATATATCTCTAGATATTATACTTATACATGTTATTCCCAGATCATAGGCTGTACTGTTTCAACTTTGCTAAAAATCAATTAGCTGTCCAAATTGCTTCTACCAACAATATATTAAGGTTTGTTTCTCTTCTCCAAAGCTTGATATTATCAGACTAATTAATTGTTAGCAATATGATAGGTATTAGGTGATATCTAACTGATGTTTAATCAGTCTTTTGTAATTGATTTTTTTAAATTTTCACAACTATGCCCATTTTCCAAAGGTAGAAAACTGATATCTTTGTTGCTCTTCAACAACTGACTTTGAAGCTTATACTTTGAGATTCTGTAACTTTATTTTAATATATCACCAAATATCATGCCTCATAAATAATAGGTAAAAAACATTTATGAATTTATGACTGACTAAAACATCAGTAGAAAGCCATGGTCTAGTTGGGCAGATGTGAGGATTAATCTAATCTTCTGTAGGAGTTGGTTTAGATTCCAGAACTTTCAACATTTTTCATCCATGGCCTAAATAGTAGATTAAAGAGGTGCTTATTAAGTTTGCATTTGATAGAAAGCTAGGGAAGCAAATAGAAAGATGAGTCAGTAACTTAACCAGTGGAATCAGCATTAAAATGAGTTTAGCATAATGAAGTAGAAAATTTAAAAAAAAATTGGGTCTCAGTATGTACAATTAAATCTCATTTTAGTTCTATTAACCTTGGATTTGTAAAAATTCTATTGAGAAATCAAAAGCTCTTCTTACAGTCTTATATACATATGCATAAAGCTTACGTAGAACTCTTTTTTTTATAGCTTCTTGTCCATGATTACTTCTCAGTAATATTTACAAAATGAATGAATCAATAAATGACAATGTTTTAACTCAGGAAGACTTATGCTGTAACATTATATTAATGGGGTGTTGCATTTTTTGCTATTTTAAACCTTTGGATTATTTGGGGTTTTCTCCCCATTACTGTGAATTATACTGCTATTCAGATTATAGATTATATCTTCTCAAAAATATTTTATAATTAATTTTTCAAATATGAGTAAAATGAATTATTTGGGTAGACTTTTCTTGTGATTGTGAATTGGTTTTCCATTATACTTCTGTGAAGATGTTTATTAACATCATTAGGAGCTTTCTGTCAATCACAGTGAACATGGTTTATTAATATTTTGAGGAATATTCATTTACTTATGTGTCTTTTTTTGCATAGAGAGTAATAATTTTATTTTACTCTTTCAGATTACTCAAGGACTGTCCAGGTTTTGTGTTTACCCCTCGATCAAGGGAGGAACTTCCACCAAACTTCCCCAATGAAATTCCTGGAATCTGTCATTTTCTGGAAGCTTATCAACAAGGAACAAATTCAAAACCCTGGTTCCAAAAGAAAAATGTTGAAGATGGTAATGCCAATTTTTTAGGCAAAGCATCAGGAGTAGATTAGCAAAATATGTCCCTGCTTATCAGTCTTTGGGGTTTGATTCCTTCAAACGTGTGGAATCTCTGAGAGCACTTTAGGATACAGATGGATAAAAGCAGTATTACCATTTCAGGAGCTCACGATCTACTTATTCTCTTCCACTTAACATGAGAAAAATGTATTCACTTCAATACTTCAGCTCCTCAGTGAAAATTAAAAAAAAAAAAAAAAAAAAAAAAAAAAAGGAAACCTCAGAAGTGACCTTTGGAGGAGAGTTCTGTTTTATAACAATCACTTTTCATTATTCAAAATTTAGCACATTGTACATATATCAGGTAATTATAGCAACCTATATAATGTGATGGAGTCACTTGCAATCCTGTGTCCTGGTGGAACGCTATGGTGATTAGAGTGTGTTTGTGATAGCATTGCCTTATAAAAGCTTTTGAACAGAAATCAATAGTCTTCAATACTGTAAGCTCTTTGAACCCTTCAACTCTGAATTTCATTACATTTTCTCATTTAGTTTTTAGCTTATATAACAAAATAGATTCAGGTTTTTCTCTGTTGCACTTTTATTTTTTTCCCATTTTTAAGAAAATAAGCAATTCTGGGTTAGAGGCAATATGAATATAAAATAGGTCTTCTGTAAATATCAAAGATTATTTTGTAAAAATATTCTCCAGCACATATTGTGTCATTAACAATAAATGTTTCCCTTTGTTTGACTTTTTAAAATTCCATATATGGTAAAGGCTATTTTAATTCATATCAACATTTTCATTCTTATTAATTCATTTCTATTTTACAGTATTCAGTATAAAAGAGACGTATAGCCTATATTAAAATGCAATAATATCATTCTGATTTAATGTAACCAGAAGCAACATGGGAGTGAAGTAAGCATTTAGGGAACAAACCATGAAGTACAGAAATAAGACATTTATAACATTCATACATTCACCTCACCCCACCTCACAACACACAGAGGAATTTGGCTGTTTCAGCAGACATTCTCTATTGCCAAGCTGAGCCAGATAAAGTTCCAGTAAGAAAATTTAAGCCCTAACCAGTTTGGCTCAGTGAATAGAGCATTGGCCTGCAAACTGAAGGATCCCAGGTTCGATTCCGGTCAAGAGTATGTACCTTGGTTACAGGCACATTCCTAGTAGGGGGTGTGCAGGAGGCAGCTGATCAATGTTTCTGACTCTCTATTCCTCTCTGTAAAAAAACAATAAAATATATTTTAAAAAAAGAAAAGGAAAATTTAAGTTCACAAGTGGGAAATAAGACTTGTTCTTTTCTGACATTGTATCGTTAAATACTTGTGTTGAATACTTTAGTGTGTATATTTCCTAAGAATAATCAATGGGTTTTTTTTGTTTTTGTTTTTTGTGGGGTTTTTTTTTGTCTCATTAAGTACATATCTGAATGTTTTATTCTAGTTGAAATATCTCAATAATATTCTTTAAATAGAATGTTAGTGTTGATGAAGAAAATTATGCTGTGATTTCATTATGGAAAATTTTAAACACTTTTTTCTGGAAGTTGAACTTTAATTTTTAATGATGTTAGTCTAAGATCTCTGGTGAACTAAACATAAATAAGGCTTTGATTTTTAAAAAGCTCAACTTCAAAGCAAGAGAAAAATGATGATTGTAATTTTTAAATCACTATTAGCAGAGCCATAGATACACTGAACTCTTATGGGGTTCTAAGAAATAATTCAATTTAAAAATTATTTAATTATCTTCACTAGTTCCCAGACTACCCCATGGTAACTTCAGGAATAAAAAGTAATTACTAATTGGCCTGTAGTATTCTATGTGTACCACTATAGATATTACATTCATTATTATTTACTGATTCCCCAATATTTTGCAGGACTGAATGTGTCTCATTAAATACCGATCTTATTGTTATAGGTGTTGGGAAAACATAGTTGCAATCTTACAATTATATGAAGTTAATAAAAATACTTAAAAGGAAAATAAATAGAAATACATTTTCTGTTTGTAATGGAACCCTTATTATAGGAAAAATAATAGGAATCAAATGAAATATAAAGGCATAAAATAAAATGTCACCTTTATAAAAATATTTAAGCAGACCCCAATTTGTCAATTTGTTTTCTTAAGTTTTTAAGCTAATTAGAATTAAAAATATTTTTTTTTCTGTGTGTGTTTGCAATGTGTGTGAGTTCACCCCAAAACCCATAGAGGAAAACAGAATCAGAGTAAAAGCTATTTGAGAATTCCTTGTATTAGTCCTACAACCTTTCCATAAGTTTGACATTTTATCTAAATTAAAAAGCCAGCAAACATGTATTTTCCCATACAAATGAAATAATCTGTATAGGTTCCCCAGCCCAGCCTATAAAGGGATACTTTGTGGACCTTAAACAAGATGAACATACAACATTTCCATGATAGAATGCATTCAAAATCCACAACTGGGCGCTAAAAACTTTAAGGAATTTTCTTTTCCCCTCAATTCAATTTAGGGGATAGAGGTTAGGGATATATTGTCAGATCCAGGGGCAGAGAATCTAGAAGGTATGTTCTCAAGGAAACAGGGACCAAAATAGGAGCTCTGTTTTAGGAGTGGAATTGAGATGGAGAAAAGAATGGACAGAGAGGGCCTTTATGACAAGGTGGGGAGCCAAAAACTCTGAATCTTGTTGCCAGGTTAACTATCCTGAAAAAAATAATATGGGGTCTAGTCCCCATTGGTTTGCTCAGTCGATAGAGTTGGCCCTGGTTGAGGTGGATACAGGAGGCAGCCTATTGATGTGACTTTCTCACATCAATGTTTCTCTCTGTCTCTCCCCCTCTCTTCCATTCTCTCTAGAAATCAATGGAAAAATATCCCAGGTGAAGATTTAAATAATAATAATAATAATAATAATAATAATGTGGGGTCCTAAGATTGCTTTTCAATCAGATGGTTTTTCCTGAGAATTCCACAAGCTGTTTCATTTGTTCTAATTTTTGTTTTTGTTTTCACTCACAGCTTCTTGCCCCTTTATTAAATATCCAGTACACAAAATAAGCTTGCCTTTATACCCATTTCTCAAGCAAGCATAGAGTTCTGTGGTTGTTTTCTAAAGATGTCTGCATCAAGAAACAAAAATAAATAGAGTTAAAAAGTGTCTTCCCATTTTTCTTCATCTTTTTATTTCTATCCAGATTTTGTAAGAAAAGGCAAAAGTTTGAACCTAAATATGAATAGGTTCACTTACTTATTTTCATTTATTTAATCATAAGTTCTTGAATAACTACCATGTGCCAGAAATAATTCTGTTCTTGGAATTCAAAGATAAGACGTGACCCATTTTATCAAGAAAAGAAAATGAAAAATGAACAGAAGGTAAATAATTTCGGAATTCTGTGGGAGCACTTAGTGCTTGGAGAAGTGTCTTAGCCTTAGAGGAGTTCATCCAGCAGAGGGGGTTGGACTTGACCAAGCCGGTACACCAGCACACAGGAAGAAATGGAGTGTCAGGGGAGCATAGTATGTCCTAGGCGGCAAGCTGCCTGGGATGAGGTGGAGGGGAGGAGAATAAGGACAGAAAGACCACTCAGATACAGACCATGAAGAGTGGGGGCTCTCTTTCATGGTAAGATGTGTGATTTTGATGATGCTGATGGTAATTAATCATCATTATTACTCATTTTCATAAAACCCTTTGTTTAAAACAAATCTTACAAATGAAAAAAAAGTGCAAAACAGAAAAAAAAACAAAACACCATTAGCTTCCACTTCCTTCCCCAACACTTTTTTTAAAATCTTTTTAAAAAAAAATATATTTTATTGATTTTTTTTTACAGAGAGGAAGAGAGAGGGATAGAGAGTTAGAAACATTGATGAGAGAGAATTATCGGTCAGCTGCCTCTTGCACAACCTCTACTAGGAATGTGCCTCAACCAAGGTACATGCCCCTGACAGGATCGAACCTGGGACCCTTCAGTCCGCAGGCCTATGCTCTATCCACTGAGCCAAACTGGTTTTGGCAACACTTTTTAAACTAGTAGGCAAGGGAGACACCAAATGCTAAAGGAAGAAATGGTATGGCCATGAGTGTCTTTCTGAAAGGCAGTGTCAGAAACAGCATGGATGAGGGTTGATATTTACTTGCATAGATGACCAAACGGTCATTCCTCTTGTCTCAGAAGAAAATGGTTTGTGCTCTCTCCTGGATAATTTACCCAAAGTACGAACATAAAGCTGGGTGTCTGGCATAGGAACTTCCTATTTACTTCCAAGGCCACTAGTCCTGCACATCCTTCGGTAGGAAGGAAGGAAGGAAGAGTTGTTTCAGCTTTTTATTAACCTTTCCTGCGAATGCTGCTCTGTGATATTACCAGTCACACAGAGCAGACCCTGCCAGGTCTGTCCTGTGGTTAGGCTACAAGCTGTCCTAGGACGGGGCACAGTGTCTATGGAGGGCCTCGCCAGTGAAAGAGACTGCCTATTTCACATAGATCTGGGGATAGACATGGGCCCCTGACATTTCTCAACCCGAAAAGTGCCCAAATGGAACTTGACAGACAAAGCCCGAAGGAAGTCTAGGGCTGTCTAATGGTTTGAAAGCCACATTCAAATCCCTGTTAAAGCAGCAGGTTATAATCTCAAAGAGAATGCGTGAATGAATTGCTGTAGTAGTTTAAAGTGTATGGATTTTACCTGCAGAAAAAAGTGTTAATGTGAAATGGAATCTCTCAGATTCATATTGTTGGGGTGGCTTGTAAGATCAGTACCCTTCACTGGACAATAAAACATAAGGAGTTTGTGCTGTGTCACTCTTAAATGGCTGTGCTTGCAAAGCGAAATGAAGGCGGATTTGAAGGGTAGGATGGGGTAGAGGGGGCAGGTGGGCAGCCAGTCACTAGAAGAGGCGATACCAGAGGTGCTGCAATTCCTGTAATAAAGATTAATCTCCTGCAAAACAAAAACTCAGTGCTGCAGAGATGATAGGAAAAAAATGCAATTCCCTTGTCTAATCACAGGCTGAAAGGGGGGAC